GTTCTAATGTACTGACTTTAGTTAATTTTTTTTTCACCTGATTCCTGACGTCCCAGTTGAAGTCATTGTATTTCAAAAGTTGCTGAGCAGCTTCAGATTTTACCAAGTCAGTGAGGTCTAATTTTAGATGCTGTGCACTGAAGTATGCAAGTGCTTGGTTGCATGTTAGCAGTCTAAATGACTTGAAAGGACCTGCTCATGTAAATAGTTATATATATACCTTAGTATTCACTGGATCAGAGCACAGGTTTCAAAAGCTTCGACTCAACATTTTTGTTCCTCTTCCTGGCTCCTGAAATTAATGATTAAATAAGAAAAACAAACAATGAATAGTTTAGTGTAAGTCCTAAAAATATTTTATTCCATTTGAGTGAACTAATACATTCGTCTTGAAATGGGAAGCAATAGTTAATATTGTACATTTTTATGTACTATTTGTTCTAATGTGGTAACAGAAAAGTTTGCAAAATTCTTTTGCATTGTGGTAGTAAATTTAAGACTCACTCTGTGACAGCTGTTTCTGCAAAAATCTCACAATGAAAGTAATGTCTATCTGATATATCATACAACTTCACATTTTATCTCTCTACTGCTATCTCATTTGGTATTGTAGCCCACATCAGTTGAAGTAAACAGTAATCCTGACATTAGCTTCAGAAGCAGTGGTACTAATACTGTATAGCATTAACAGTATAAAAGTGAAACACTTATTTGCACATACCGCAAACCCACTAGCTTTCTGGGACACTATATACGTATCAGCACATATGCAAGAGATCACTGGAAAGCATCTTGTAGGCTAACAAGGAGAATGCAAAACTTTATCTGGATACAGAGGAGTTTGTTGACTGTTACCTTAGGTCTTACTTTCTTCATTCTGTCAGAAACTGCAGCAATATCCTTCCTATAGTCTTACCATCAACATCTATGTGCAAAATCTCCTCCAGGGCATGTTTTTCTATCTTGGAACACCAAATACATTTTATTATTGTTATTTAGAGTAATTACAACAGTACAAATCAGGTATAAGGCTTGGAAGCCTTATAAGAACACTTGCTTCCCAACATCTGTCTTGAGAAGAAAGGAGATACAGCAGCTGAGCATATTAAATGCAAGAAGAGGCAGGGTTAGTTGACATAGGAAAAAAAAAAAACAAATCAGAGAGGACAGGTTCAGCAATAAAATTGAAAGAATCAGAGATGGCAGGGCAATGTGTTTAGCCTAGGATTAAGCATCCCATATTTTCCATGAATGTTGTCTTTAATTAACATTTGATTGTTCATTGTGGCTAAAACCGTGCACTGGACGAAAGCCTGGCACTGAGGGGCTGCAGGCAAGCACGGCCCTGTCCCAGTCCGCAGCAGCTGCCCCACACTGCCTGCTCACTGCACCGGTCCTCAAATGGAGGAACTGCCTTTGGAAATGCTGAGCGAGCTGTAGACGACCTTGGCATGATTCCTGGCCCTGGCAGAAAACCCAGCAGGTGGTGGGCACAGCCTTCAGCAGCCCGGCCTGTGGGTCCTGCAGCGTGGTGCTGCCCCAGCTGAGCCCTGGCCGCCGGCACCACACACCAGGGCTGCACACAGACAACCCACACTTGATGTGGCTCCACCACCCTCTTCCCTTTTCTCTATGAGGTAAGGAGGTATGTTGGCCTCATTTTTTATGAGGGTGTCTAGACAGCAGAGTACCTCAAATAATAGCAGCATTACGAGTGTCAGCATTGCACAAAGCAGCCTGTCTCAGCAGTCACCTCTGCAACCCACCAGTGGGTTTTTTTTTTCCTAAAAAGAGCACAGCCTACACCAAAAGTGTTTCAGTCCTAAGGTCTGCTATGCTGACGCCCTGCAAAGCCTCAGATCTGCAAGTTTGGAAACATTCCTGTCTCTCCTGTGCTGCTTTGGGTTTTAGTTTGTTCTTCAGTGGTGTTCCTGTCTAGCTAGTTGCAAACAAGATTTGTGTTATCTTCCTTTGTAATAAAGAAATAATTTTAAAAAATACTTCGATGCTTTCCATCTGCTTTTTCCATCAGGAAGAGAGAAATTACTCCTCAAAACCAGCCAGTGCATGCACAAAACTTGGAAATGCTCTCAGTGATCACTGCACAATCTAGGGTACAGTCAAGGGAATAAACTATGAACATAAACTTCCACTCTCTTGTTGGATGTCTGAACGCTACCAGACTCACTGGACCAAATATTTGCACTGTTATATCCAGAGAAACGCCTGCTTTCAACTAAGATATACTGATGCTATGTGGAGAACCACATAGTTCAACTTGTCTACATTTTAAAGTCAGAGACTGAAAGGGAGGATGTGGAGAACATATTATAAAAAGGGAAAATGAATAATGAAAGGAAGAATGCAGTTAGGAATAAAAGGCTAGGAGGGTCTTGTGAGCCTGAGCCATAACGTGAAGCACAGATAAAATAAGCACAATCAGTAACCACAGATGTGTCTGCAGATCCTGTAGCAAACACCACAGTATTGTGGAGTTTTCTCCCCGAGATGGTGTTTTACCCACTCTGAAGACCTCCTGTAAGTGCCCTGTAGGAGAAGACATCCACTGGGTCCTTTTAGAGGAGGAGAGGAGAAGAATCTCCTCTGAAAAGACAAGTGAGGTGTAGCAGCCAAGGCTTTAATTTTATCAATGACTTGTCAAGCCAGCTGTGAACATTCACCCTTTTAATCACAGACTCATTAGGATCCATACATATTTAATCAAGGCTGAAGGTGCTCTAAATGCTTCTACAGGTAGTAGTGTATGTTTTAGCACATGGCACTATGCATTTTGACATTCAGGTGATCATGCTAATGCTAAGGTAAAATCCAGACTTCTAGCACTAAACTTTAAAAGCAGGCAGTCACTTCCCAGTTACACCATCAGTTTGTTTATTTACATTTAGCAAGCTGCCTATTTAAAAAACAAAGGAAAACAAAACCAATGCTGAAAATAATTTGATTAAAAGATAGTTCAGATTATCTAGCCATCTGTGTTACTGCTGGGGCTGGTGGAAGCCACGGTCTCGTGGCGCTTCCCATCACCATCCAGAGGAGAGCTACCAAAACAGAAATGTTTCATGAGCAGGTAGCAGAAACATTCAGCAGCTGCCCCTGCTCTTGCTCAGTCATTTTATCTTCTGCTGGCACCTCCATCTGTGGTTACAATTCAGGGTCCAATAAAGCAGGCGGACAACTTGACTGTTGCCACTCGATCATGCTGCCAGATCTTCCACTGCTCATTTCCTGTGGCACAATCTGAAAGAAAGCCTGTTTCCATGCCTGAGCTGGTCTGGACAAAGATAAATCTGAAGGCTGCCTAGTGACTACTGTATAAACATACAAAAAGTCTGATGATCTAACCTACAGGGCCTTGGATATCGGTATAATTAAATGGGGAAGATGCCAAGAAAATAATTATTGTAAAGTTTTCTTTTGACAAACTTATGACAGAAATTTCTCAACAGCTTCAAGGAACTCTGTGGATGAGCTAAGCCCTTCCAAGTCCAGCAGATTTCCCTTTTTGTCATGAAAGTGGAATAATTCATTCTCCTCCTCTTCAAGTTCCTCCCGAAATAGGTTGGTCTCTGAGGTAGGAATGATGATGATGCAAGGGACCGTATTGCTAACAATAGAGCCCAGGATTCCGTTAACTTGACTTTCTAGAGTTGCCATCTGTGAAGTGTCGGAGTCTCCTCCTTTGCTGACACTGTTGCTATTCAAACCAACAGGCAGAGAAGCTGCTTTTGGGGAGCTGGTCACATGTGTTGCAGGGGGACTGTGTAGGGCTGACTGCACAAGCACCTTCTCCAGACAGCTGGAGGAGACTGAAACCTGAAGCAGAGACATAAGCTTTAGTGTTGCCATACAGCATATGACTATGGAAACCAGTACTTGAGATAGTCACTACAACTAGTCACTCTTTGACCCACCAGTCATGTTTCCTAAACAGTTGAATCATTGACTACAAAGGGAAAATCATGATGTGTTAACATCTACAGCTTGGAAAGCAGGATGTCAAATGAAACAAAAGAAGACATGCTCAAATATCAGCAGAGACCAAAAAGAAAAAAAAAAAAAAGCAGCAAAGAAAAACCCATTCTTACATCTGACTTAATGTTAAAAAAAAAAAAATTCTCCATTTTTAACACATCTCAAGATACTGGATAATTGTACTTCTGTCTCCCTTACAGAAGAGATCTCAGGTGAGACTCTAGAACACTCTATTTTTATTTGCCTAAAGTTTCATCATCCGTGTGACTATCTCTATCATGGTGACCCCAAATGGCTTCTGGTACTGTCTCAGGGCAGTTGGTGGCTTTGCATTCATAGGTTGGACAGTAATTCCACCACCAAAGAAGGGAAAAACAGCACCTGTGATTTTGTTCTTCTAACCATTTCCCATCTGCCTATTTTGAGAGAAGTCTAATTTCTAACTTGGCTCTGATGGCACCTCCCCTGTGACCTTTCTATAACTCTTCATGCACACTATGCAAATCCAGAGTAAACTAAGTAAGCTTTGAAAGTGTTAGTTAATATTTAAATACACTGGCAACAGAATGCATGAGTGATCAGTTTTGGCTTGCTTTAGAAAAAGACAGTTATGGTTAATAAATCACTGTGTCAGATACAGAGAGAAGTTAGAAGTCCCTCCTTCCTCAGTGAAAATCAACATTTAAAGTAAAATGCAGTTTTAAGTTCATTACTGTGTGAATTCCCTTGAAGCCTAATGGTATTTAGAGTACAACTAAGCTTTACTCAAATTGCTACAAAGCCTCTTTCAGAGTTATAGTTCTATTTATTTCTCTTAATATGGTTGTAAAAATATTAATTAACTACACTGTCTTCATAGCTTGAACTTTCCAGAATAGTTTTGTAAAATTTTATCTCTATTGCAGATATTCCTGTTCTAGTCATCATTAATTCAACTTTACTCTTCTTGAAGCACCCAGGCATGTAATTCCCATGGATTTATAGGGGTTTGGTGCTGAAACAACTTTTAGAAATGCTAGATCTGTTTCCAGCATGATCACAGCCTAACAGGGGCTGTAATCTTGCTTCTCCTCCATCTCCACCTAGTCCATGGCCTGTGATACTGCCTATATACTGACAAACTAAATGGTTCCTTAAACCAAAAAGGCAAGGTGGGGTGTTTTGGGGTTTTGTTTTTTATTTTTTAAGATTTAGGGGTCATCATCTCAGTTTTAGAAAGTAGTTTGGCAGAGTATGTTATTACATAGCATAGGTCTAGTCTGATTTTACAGACAAAAAACAAAACTCATTTGTTTTTCACACAAACGTTATTTAAAAAAAAATATTAGTTTTAGTGTCTCTTTCTCCCCCTCTGTCAGTCTGGTTTTAAAATTAGATACTGGCAGATACTGAAGCATTGTGTAATTCTACTCCAACAAAAAGGAATCATTCACCAATCCCTATCAATAACAATTTCTGCAGCTGTTGTACCTACTCAAGTGAACAGAAGCACAAGGTATTAAAAAAAGGTTTAAATCAGCCTGACAGAGAAGAAAAGTCCGTTCTTCCACATAAACGATAACAATAGAATGAAAAAACCCAAACCCATTCCTCCCTGCATCCATTGTTTTCACTGCAGCAGAAGGATGGGTTTCTTTTGGATATGGCTTAGGCAGGACACCCCTTCCAAGGGTTTTTAAATAGTTTTCAGCCTGGTAATTCCCTTGACACAAAACGTGGATGGACAGAGAACACTTGGCAACTCTCCTTTGAAATCAAGTATCCAAACCTAGCTTATCCTCATAATACATTTTAATGCTCCCAAAAAGGCCTCTTCACTGCCACACCAGGTTTCCAGGTGTCTGTCTACATCAAGTCTGTTGCCACCCTAACTGACTGCAGTAAGTCATGGGGCTGGATCAGAGCTTTGTGGCAGCCCAGAAAACAGTCACATGTATTTTTATGCTTTGGGATACACCAAACCCAGGACAGTGATTGGCTCTTTTTTTCACTTGAGAGATGCCTTTTCTTTTCTGACAACCCATCTGCAACTGTGCATTAAGTAGTCAATATCAGTCAGTGAAAACAATTCAGGGGTACATAAATTTTTCAAATGTTGTTGAGATGATCACCTTAAAGAAAACAAAGGAAATGAAAGATTCTTTCCCTAAAAAAAAAAAAAAAAAAGTTATATTTTTTAAAATCAAAAAGTTAGGTGACCCTGCACCAAATTCACACTTGTATTTCCATAACTGAGCATTTTTGGAAGAGCTGTAATTAGAATTCAGTCATAAACAATCCAGTAATGCCATTAAAACCTTAAAATAAATACCTAAAAATGCAGTGGGGTTTCTTTAAGGTTAGTTGGAGTTTTTTTAAGGAAAAATGGGTTGCCTCATAGTAAAATGCTCTGAGATTGACAAATATTCCGATAGAATTAATATTGATGCATTGCATTTAGCTCACTCAGAAAGAACCTTCACAACACACAGGAATCTTTGCTGAAAATATTAAGCAAAGCAAATGAGGCTTTGAACATTCACTGTGAATAAACTCCACACACCTCACTGAACATCACTGAAAGCCTCAGTATGAAGGTACTCTGTTTAAAGGTTATTTATCAAAATAACCTAACAGATGTATTTCAAAGACAAAGTATAAGTATAGTATCTGAGCCTTCTTGTCGCTAATTTCCAGAATACAGGAACATATACTGAACACTTTTATGCAGACCACTTTAGATTCTCCTTCTTTGTGAGACCTAAAGCTGGTGGTTTTCCAGAACCTGGAGACAATGTCTTGTCTTTGCCACTTGCCTACATCCTTGGACACACTGAGCTACTGACGGAGGGCAGTGGAGATGGGTGGTAGATTTGAGCCCATATTGCCTGACATCCCACTGGAAGCCATTGTTTTTCCATCAGGATTATTAACAATATTTACAGGAACAGACCAAGGTATCTCAGGACTTGATCTTAAGGAGACACATGAAAGAAGACAGGGCAGACGCATGCAGGAACTGGGTCATCGGATGGTTGGAAATTTCCAGAACAGCTCCTGCTTTAAACTGCACTGTATCTAGACAATTAGCCTCAGAGCTGGAAGGGAGCACAGGCGATGGAAGCAGATGCTGTAGCTGCCCAAGGTGTGGGTGTTTGCTTACACGTGCTAGAGTAACCCCCTGAAAGGGTGCCTCCATCAAAAAGTGGGTGTTACTCAATCCAGGCACAGATAGTGGATTGTAAGCTTATGTATGTCTTGTCTTGCAAATGCAGCACTGATATATGTTTGACATTGTGTCACCCATACAAATACTTGTTTTGAAACTGGTGGTATGATTCTGGCAGAAGCTGACTCACATGTGACCTACTGCTCCCATCCTCAGCAGTTCCTCAGGGAATGGAGTGCTCCTCAACAGCATGACACCAAACCTTAGTGGTTTGGGCAATGAGCATGATGTATCCACAGAAGATGTGCTGAGTACTCACCGTCTCCTCTTTCAGTGAGGGAAGGGTGGCAGCTGCCAGACTCTCCCACCCTTAGGGAGAAATGGGAGTTTCTTTCTCGTCTTCCCCCTCAACAAAAATAAAACATTTTAATGTACACTGAAAAGAAGAAAAAGGGTGGCTTCTATTATGTCAAACTCTGTTTTGCAGCCCTGACTCTGTAATAAAAAGAGGCTGCCACAATGTAGACACAAGGATTAAGATGTGAGGAACCAGAGCTGGGGTAGATAAACAGGCAATGAAGTCAACTTCCTACGTTTGATGCTACTGACTGTGCTTTAATGCAACTTTAGAGATATAAGATGATGCTGCCTTTCAAAAAACAGGCAACATATCAGTGAAAAAAAGTTAATAAGGCATTATTGGCATTCTCATTAGTCAAAAAAAAAGATGATGTAAGAGCAAGAATGAAGAGGACATCAGAATCAGTATAAAGCAAGATGACAGATGAAACAGATAGGTATAAAGGCTGAATTATTATTCCAGAGATGATGTACTGTAGTAAGACTAACACTGAAATGGAGAGTTCCCAGCAGAGACTTTTTTCCTTACCTTTTCTGCAGTTGCTGCATTGCAGCTCCAAGTCTTTGGGAGTAGGTCTCTCTTCTCCTGTCTCAGATTTGTTGAGAAAGATTGACTTCGTCGAGGCTGCAGTTTCTTGTAAGCTGGCTCTACAGGGTCAAGCTCTACATCACTCCAGGTCTAATCACAAATGATGAAGAATTTCAGACAGTTACATCTTTTCTCAAATTCTGAAAGTTCTCAAACTCTAGCAGAAACCATGCACACTTACAGAAAACTGAAGCTGTTCTAACATAGGTCTCACACTAAAAACATCCCCAAATAGAAGCTTGAATTTTAATTTGTCACTTATCCTGGACTATTTTTCTGAACAAAAAAAACCCCTTGAAATAATGTAAAATTATTTAATCTCTTTGCACCAGGATGCTTTTCGCCCATTTTTTTTATCTCATTATTTGTACTACGTTTATAGCTGCATAGCACAAGAAGTCTAAAGATGGGAGCAAATAGCACAGAATCATAGAATGGTTTGGGTTGGAAGAGACCTTAAAGGTCATCTAGTTCCAACCCCCCTGCCATGGGCAGGGACACCTTCCACTAGCCCAGGTTGCTCAAAGCCCCGTCCAGCCTGGCCTTGAACACTGCCAGGGAGGGGGCAGCCACTGCTTCTCTGGGCAACCTGTGCCAGTGTCTCACCACCCCCACAGTGAAGGACTACATCTAATTTAAGTCCACCCTCTTTCAGTTTAAAGCCATTACCTCTTGTCCTATCCCTACACACCCTTGTAAAAAGCCCCTCTCCAGTTTTTCTGTAGGTCCCCTTTAAATACTGGGAGGTTGCTATAAGGTCTCCCCAGAGGCTTCTCTTCCCCAGGCTGAACAACCCCAACTCTCAGCCTGTCCTCATAAGGGAGGTGCTCCAGCCCCCTGATCATCTTCATGGCCTCCTCTGGACTCACACCAATAGATCCACATGTGCTTCTTATGTTGGGGGCCCCAGAGCTGAATGCAGTACTGCAGGCAGGGTCTTCTAGATTGGAGTAGAGAGTATCACCTCCTATGACGTGCTGGTCATGCTTCTTTTGATGCAGCCCAGGATATGGTTGGCTTTCTGTGCTGCCTGTGCACATCGCTGGCTCACATTCATTTTTTATCCACCAACACCCCCAAGTCTCTCTCCACAGGGCTGCTGTCTATCCACTCATCGCCCAGCCTGTATTTGTCCTTGGGATTGCTCCAACCCATGTGCAGGACCTTGCACTTGGCCTTATTGAACTTCATGAGGTTTGCAAGGCCCGCCTGTCAAGGTCACTCTGGATGGCATGTCTTCCCTCCAGCATGTTGACCACAACATATAGTCTTGTTTCTGTTTAATGTGGCTTATGACATCCTGTGTCACCATCAACTGGTACAAAAGTGTGGACATGGACACATCCAAAATGACATTTATATGCATTCCAGCTGGATACCCAGAACACCCAGGGCTTCTCAAGCCCCATGAGCTTGCTTCTTCTCTGAACTGCCATTGGTGAATGGGAGGCAAAGGGTGGGCTCTGCAATAATTTTCTAAGAGCATGCCAGTAATGGAGCACAGCTGTGACAATACAACCATGCCATTCCATTTACAGGCTTGGGCAGAGGCCATTCATCATCTCTAACTTTGTAGTGACTTTTTGATTATCAGTGATGAGATCATTCTATTTTCCACACCAGCTTTTAGAGCTGTATAGATAGATAAGTAAGTAGATAGACAGACAGCTAGGGCTCCACATAAGTGGGAAACTAGTGCATAATTCCACTGAATCACCTTGCTCACACATCTATGTATTACCACCTGTTTATTTCTCCTCCCTTGTAGGATCAAACTGTAAATATGACTTTATATGACTCATGAATGTCTTGGCTCCCTACACTAATATGTACACAACACACAGAGGAAAGTGTTGGTAGCAACAGCTGTGTCTTTTACAGTATTGCTGGTATCATTCCTGCCCATCAATAGTTTATTGGAACATTCCAAAATTTCACTCAGTCTGACTGTCAGGCGAGAGTCATTGAGCTTAGCTTTTATTTCAGCAGCTGCTCTTTCAGCTAAAACCTGTACAGCTGCACTGAGCTGTCAGTTACCCCAAGGACAATTACTTTTGGCTGAATCAACTCAACACAACACAGTGCTGCACATCGCTAACAGCAGGTATTTTGTTTGAGACTCCTAAGCCAAAGCTGTGCCAAAAGCTGGATTCTTATCCACATTATCCTGTCTCTTTAAACAGCAACTGCAACCAAGCGCGTGCAATAACCTGCTAACCCCAATGAACCAAAACCAATGACCAACAGTGAAGAACAGAAAGCTTCTTGGATCAGGATGGGTGATCCAGCTGAAATTACCTAATTTGACATCAAACAAAGGATTAATGAGGAGAGAATTTATGAATAAACTTTAAGTCAAGGAAAATTAAAAGGAGCAAAAAAGGTTGGAAATAAATAAATTAGGAGCCTCCCTGTTTTAAACTACATCAACACATTTCCATGTTGCTTACACATGCTATCTACAATGAGTGAATGAAGCACAAGCATAAGCAGACAAGTGGTCCCGATGATCTCAAGGTGATACAGATATGTGTGGGTGCTCTGTTTGCTCAAGCTGTTAAGCAATCCCAAACAAAATACACTCTTTTTTAAATGATAAAATATTGGTATGTTGTATATACTAACCTCGTATTGCAAGGATAATCTGGGGATTTTACAGTTTATGAAATCATCACAGTTGATACTCTCATGCATCATTGTGCATCCAGTGGTCTGTGAATGGAATTAAATCAGCAGGATAGATTATCTCATTTTCATTTACATTGCACAGAATTTTTTTATCCATTTATTTATATCTTCAAGAGCCAAGACAAATGGTAAATTTCATACCCCATACAAAGTGAGTCGCTCTTTTTTCCCTGTCTCATTAAGGTCTTTTGCCCTAATACAGCAGCAAACCAGATAAAACCGAAAGTGGTCCCCATGCCCTAAAGTCTATGAGAGCCTATGCGAGGAAATTTGGGGACCCTCATGCTGTGTGGTGTGGTACAGTAGTGTCACACTCCACAAACATTTCAAACTCACTTGGGCTCAGATCTGAACATGCTAAAAAAGGCTTTGCCCAGGCTGAGAGAGACCTTTCACTCTTCTATTTACTGTTTTAATTTAGAAGAAATTTTATGGTACACATACTTTATGAAACACTAGAAAAGGCTTGTCGCTTCTAGACCAAGTCTCTCTTCAGAAGTAGCTTGTCGTTGCATGGTATTTAAACATCTTCTAATTTTGAATGACAAATTTCTCCCCATTTAAGAGATTTCATGGTCTTTAATTATCATTATTATTGCCTGTCTATAATACAGTAAACTATAGGCTGTTTAGTGATAGCCAGGAATGCTGCAGGGATACGTGATACACAGTCACAAAGTGGAAGAGGATCCTTGTTCCCATACAGTTCACAGCTTCACAAGATGTATGGCTGGGGCTATCCATTAAAGCGGAATTAGTCATTTTAACTTGAAGTCTATCTGATGCAGCTCTCTGGTTAATGTGCAAGAGTCACAGCTGCATGGACTGCAAAATAACCTGTCTTTTGTAATGGAATAGGTTTTGTTTCATTAGGGCTTAGACAGTAAGCCTTCTCCTCAGGTACTTAAAATGGTTCTTTTGTTCTTTTGATTTTACAGCCAGAAGTCCTGAATTTCTTGTCAACACCCTGGATACAGTGTTAGCATTGGCTGGGACTGCTTGGTTTCCCAGTGAACAGTGCATTTTTTGCACAGGTGTGTTTGTTTTACTGTCTGTCTGCCATGAAAGAGTTCAGAAATCTCCCTGGTGCTGTTACCCAAAAGGAGCAAGTTCCAATCTCCAGCAGAAAATTCAGCGCAAAATTATCTTGTTTGAGAATGGTGCACTGTTCATGCTGATTTTCCTGGTGGTCCATTTCCAAATCAAGGACCCCAGTGTTCCCAAAAATACTCAACATAGTTACAATCTCACTGAAATGCAGCTCCACAGCCTGACTCTCAGCAAGAGCACCCTGAAAGCAGCAGCCTGCAGGCTACAGCACACAAATAACTGAGCCCCATCCTTGCTCAGACCCCTGCCACCTGGCTCAAGGGGAGAGCCAAGAGTTTGCCACGCAGCTTGTAACGGTAATTCAGACCTTTGTGAAAGGTTACTGACTGCAGCCATTGCTCTGGGAGGTTTCTTATGCCCAAGCTGAGTGTGAAGCAGCTCATGTCTCTGGGAGGACCAGCCCCAGCTCAGAACCTGCTATGGCTGCCATGCTCCCCCAGGAGCTGCTCTCCCCCAGCATCTCTGTGGGCAAGGCTGCCTTCTTGTAAGTTGGAGAGGCAGGCAAGGTCCCAGGGGTTCATTTTATTTCTAGCTCCCTCAGCCGCCACCCTTACTGAAACTTGAGGTATGCTGCTTACAAAACACCACTCCTCAGCATTAAAATCCAGGGAAACAAATCAAAAAGTTTCTTGTCCTATAGAAAATAGACTTCCTTTAAAATAATAAGACAGCTTTTGGATAGGTTAGAAAACTTTGGATGGTCCTCCAGCCTGCTCAGATACTGAATTACAGGAAGTGGCTGGTGACATGGGGAGTTCCTGACAATGGTTCTTTCTAACTCACATCAAAGACTTAACCTGAATATCTTTGATTCTTGTAAGTATCTGAACCATGCAGATGTGCTGGCCTACATGTTTTTTCTGATCAGAAATCATCTTGCATGAACTCCCAGACAGGCTTTGCAGAAATGACCTCATATGACCCCCAAAATTTAACTAGGCCCCCCGCCCCCACTTTTTTCCATTCTCTAATTTTGAATACATATTTATAGAGTAGCTTATTTTGGGAGTCAGAGAAACATTATACTCACTTTCCTCCACAGAAACAAGAAAAGACTTACAGCTTCTCTAGCGGAAACTGGTGGAACACAAGTGCTCTTGGTCCTGCCAGCAAGAGACTGATGGCTGGAGAGAGAGGTCCTGAACGATGACTCATTTATGGAGCCTCTCAAGAGGTCATTCTTTGATAGTCGTATCAGGAACCTCAAGCAGGGAACAGCATTGTGGATGGTTTTTCTGAAGGAAAACAGAAGGAAAAAAACCTACAAATGGCACACTGATGACATGGCTTTGAAAATCTTGTGGTGAAAGTACCGTCTCTTTCCATAACTTCAGCACGGCTTCTGTTTTGATTGAGGAGATCTTAAAGACTACCTGGAAACAGCATGGTGTATCTAGTGAAAACTACTCAAGAGGCTGAAAGGAAAATAGGAGGTGGCTTCTGGGCCTCCAGTCAAAACATGTATGGAAAAACCGCATGGATAAGTAATGAGAATTGGAAATATCTTGAAGAGCACAATTGCTTTTGATTTAATTAAAAGGTTAACCCAGAAAACTTCCAAATTAGCTGGTACAAAGATCTTCACTGTGCAAAGACACAGGACAAGTGGAAAAAAAGAAGGGAGAGAGGGTCAGAAGAATCAGATACCGTTATTTATTTGTATCACAACAGCTCCCATAAACTCCTATTGGGAATTAACACTCCATAAAAACACAGAGGAGAAGGATGATCTACGCTCCAAAGAATTTAAAACCTGCCTTATTCATTAAATAATAATCTCAGTCATGGTTGTATGAGTCTATTCCTTCTGGCTCCAGCCCTGGTCCCTCATGGAGCACAAAAGTCCAAGGGCCTCCCATATGCAATGCCAGCTGGCCTTGCCCCTTGCTGCCACCACGGGGTGGCAGGGGGATGCTAGCCAGAGTGCTGCATTTGCTATAACACCTCCTTAGTGGCTCCCAATCCATTATTTCAGTCCATCAGATGAAGTTAATACTGGCACAAAATTAAATGAACAAGTGAAGAAGTGTATGAAAACAGTGTATGGAAAACAACTGATGCATGAGACATGGATCAGTGGAGGATGTAAGTGTATTGACTTTATATTGAGATGCAAGTCCAGTGGATTTATTTTATAAAATCTTTGCTTCTATAGTTACCAGGTTATTGATTAACTGGTACTTTTCAAATAATCATTTCTATTCTCAGAAAAGATCACACACATTAAAGTGTCAGAGACCTGATTTGGGATGACAAGATGAGATCACTAGTTTGTCAATCCAAAAAAACCCTCCAAAACCAAACAACATTTGGCATCATCACCACTCTCAGTATATCAGACTTCTGTGTGTCTTTCCTCTCTAACTTCAAAGGCAACGGAACAAGCAGCTCTGTGCCTACATTGGCGATGAGGACTGAAGAAAACTTTCTGCCCACACCATTATTCCTGATTCCGCCAAGATGCCTGTCGGTGAGATCACAGAGCCCCAACGAGCTGCTTGGGGGTGCAGGAGGCTGCCCCCATGGTGCTGGATAAAACAAAGAGCTAATGTTGTGCAGAAGATAAAAAGTTTTGAGAGCCAGAAAGGGTTTACAGGACACGAGAAAATGCCGAGCCCCCATAAGTTCATTTTCATGTTGAAGACTTCAGGCTGGTGCTAAAAAAGCAGCTGCCAGGTTTCTTCCCCAGCTGAGAATCTGAACCACTTCCCTCACACACAGACATAACTTTTGATGTCTGCCACAACCTATCCAGAGCTGTAAACTACTCAGTAACTTCAAGTTGGTGTAAAACATACCATCCTGTTCATTAAGTGGGAGCTCATGCAGAGACCTCCTCATGCTGGAGGTTCAGGTAATGTATATCTGATGGTGAATTTTCAAGGACAACATGAGAACATTTTTGATGTCTTGAGGGACCAGAGTTTCAATTTTACTAATATTTGGGAGGACTGCTGGGGGATGTTTTGTGGGCTGGGCTGAAAAGATTTTGAAGGTAGTTTTAATACTGAACATATGAAATACAGAATAGGTATAAACTGAGGTGCTTATTAAATGGTAATTTTATAAACCCCTGAAATAAAAGTCACCCAGAGTCAAATATGTAGTACATACAATCAAATTTTGGAGAAAATAATGCAAATCAAAATAATTCATGATTATTCAGTTTTTTATTTATGATGGAACAGTTTTGAAGAAATTACTTTTGTGTAAGTGTGCTTCACTTGGGAGCAAGTTAGAAACATGGAGATGAAGAATTTCTTTGTTCGCTATGAAGGAATGATTACAAAACCTAAAACTTTCAAAATCTAAGGAAATTTCTGCAATAACTCTAGCACAGCCAAGCGACATTCTCTCATATACAAGTTGTTAAAGGAATGGAAACTTTCTTCCCCCACAAACCAGCATTTCATGAATTAAAACTGCTTAAATTTAATTTCTTACTCCCATTTGTTGCTTCCAGTGATACGTATCAGGGACAGAAGTGTTTTCCTCCTTTATCCTGCCTGGGGTGTGGGTGGGCAGAGGGATATATGACAATTAACTTCTCAGACCAGTTCTTAAAAGCCAAGTGCTAGCACAAAGGTCATTATTACATTTTCAGTTACACTGATTGTAATGTACTTTTTTCATTGCTATAGGTAACGCGATCCCACAAAAAGACTTTTTTGATTTGTTGGTGTTAAGATGTAGCGACAGCAATTCCCTGTGCAAAAAAGCATCTTGCTTTGGTAGTGGTACACCATTGGTTTGAACCATATCTGAACTCTTTAGATCCTGATTTCTAGAAATGCCTCTTTCTAGAAAGATTTGGAAAATAACTTAGATTTAATTCAGGTCAGTAGTCCCAATACAAAATGGCAATTTATCCCCTGCCCAAACCCTTAACTCATGGACCTGAACAGATTGGACCATTTACCTCTCACTGAATTATTAGGAGATTTGGAAATTATCCAGAAACCCTGATCTTTACCTACATATTCATTATTTACTGTTCAAGCAAAATTGGTCCAACCAACATATTTTCACCAGCTGACTTGTTGGTGTACTGTAGCTGCTTTTTCAGTTTTAAAACTGCATGCTTGATTCATAACGAGGGACCCATCACTACTTCTTTTCCTGACTGGATGACTCCCAAGTCTATGAAATGTTTTCACAACAACTCCATAAAGACTTCTCTTGTTGACATGTCTAGAAATACAAATTGGGAAGCAGGGAAAAATTAAAACAAAACACTTCTCAAGAGAGTGTCTGAAATCCTGTTGTGGACTCCAGCCTTTTTCTTAATACAGTCTTAAAAAAGCTGATGCCGGTAGGAAAAAAGACAAATTGAAGCAGTTCACTATATAGTATCTGCTTTGAAAACATCACTTGACCTTGCAAAAATAATATAAGGAATTACAACTGAACACAATAGTTTAGGATCAGAGAAAAATACCAGGTTCAAAATGTGTCAGCCAGCCATGCAAAAATCCTCATTCAGCTTCTTGCACACCATCAGAGATTCGTCATTCTCCTATTCTAAAGTGCTCTGCAACCTTCAAGAAACAAGATGGACTCAGGTTTTTGGAGATGCTAAACAGTGTTAGTTATGGTAGCTGGCATCTACAAACAAAACATATGTTTTTAGTATTTCTGGATGTATTTCCACCAGCCTTCTGAGACACTTTTAACTGTTCTTATAACCATGCTCCCATTCATCAGACATTCAAAACAACGGACTCAATTTGCAGTTCCCAAATCCTATTTTTCCACAATATAATTTAGCAGGTTTTCCACTTCTCGGGTGAGACAAACCTCATACCAACGACTAACCCTGCCATCTAGTGGCATTTATATATTTATCACTATGGCATCCCCGTGTTTTGTCCAAACTTTTGATGCAGCATCACTTTGTGGTAGATCTGCTTTGAAAGACTTGCAGAAAAATCTAGAGATATGCTGAATACCAGTTCTGTTACAAGCATTTATTCTCTTGTATAATAAAGTATTTTTCACTGCCAGTGTTTCAAAAACACATTACACAGAGCTACAGGAAGAAAATTGCAAGCCCTGAGCTGTACCTTCTGTGTGAGGTATTGCTTCTCCTGACTACACTGCTGTGAGACATAAATGTGGAAAACAAATATTTAGGGGGCCACCTAATGCTGGAGATGGGGCTCAGAACACAGCTGAGTTGTGTCCCTTTCCTTATGTTAAACAGGCAAATAAAAACCTCAAAAACCAAACCCCTAAAACCTATTTTTGTTGGATTTTTGGAAACCAAGTATTTCAGAAGTTTTAACAGAAGTGACTGACTTTGCCAGTACTTGAACGTGTTTCTCAGCTGAAGCTGGGAGGACATTTCTAAATAAAATGTTGACTTTGAAAAGTAAGTTTTAGTTTGCATAGTGTCTGGGAAGTTCAGGGTAAGTTTGTCCTCCTTTGAAACCATTCAGCAGAACACCATGTCAGCTTGCTCTATTGCAAAAGTACTTTGTAACTCCTTTTAGCACCATGAGACTAAAGACACAAAGATTTTTGATATGTCCATACTATGCATACCTCCAGGTCCTAGCTAGCTGAAAGAGCAGTTGACCTTTCTGAAATGCAAAGTGATTCCTTCTCATGCTTTCCCTAAATGTTGGAGAAGGCTGAGCTGGTCTCTGGAGACCAACTAGGATGCTACAGAGAAGTTATTGAGGGAGATTATAATGACCTTTCTTCTGTAAAGGGAAAAATTTCTGATTCTTTGGAGGAGTGTCTTTTATGGCACATTAAATTATCATTCTATTCACCTAATCTTGTAGGTTTCCTATCAGAACGACAGTAAGGACTTTTTTTTTTTTTTTTTACAGTGCATTGTTACTTTCCTAATAATCTACTCTGTGGGAACAAGTTGTCTTTATGCTCTCTATCCCCTACCTTTCTGCAGTCAGAGGGCCTGGATGAAAAGCAGAACCTTTCAACTCAGAAACTCATTCACTGGCTGTGAGAGGCTTAAGAAGGAAATAAAATGGCAAGAAAAGTTGGCTAACCGTGCAGCTTACTGAGAATGAACAATGTTTGAGTATTGTGCTGGGTTGGCACAGTGTTCTGTTTTAAAACATATAGTAACTGATATTTGTAATAATAAGTAGAATTAAAGCCTAGTATAATTTGCTTATGAAGGCATAGGTTCAGAAATATTTCGTATCTGCAGAAAAATTGAAGTATTTCACAGAAGTGACATTTTGCCCACTGAAACCCATTAATGTACTGTAAAACTTTTTTTTTAAGTCGAAGCTATTATTTTTGAAAAAAGGTAAAGAACGGAAAGTCTTTTCCCTGAAAAAAAATATATGAAACAAATATGAAAGCCTTCAAAAGAGACTTATTTCCACAAAGGAGAATATTTCAGAAATGTCTGCTTTTTTTCTGAAGGCAAATACTTGTTGATGAAATTTAGCAAGCCTGCTAATGAAAAAACAGTATTTTCAGTTTACTTGGAAAACTTTCTTATCTGTAGGGAGCTCTGTCTAGATTACTGGCTTCCTACAGCTCTCATTTGACACAGAACTTCTATGAAAATGCTGTTTGCTTCTTACAGAGCTTCTCCCAAAGTCCAGCAACTTGTTCACATTAGTAATGAAGTTGGTGTAAAGACTTAAGTCCTTCAGAAAACCAAACTTCAAATATATGCATGTCTAGCTTCTGTTGGCCACCCTGGGGCCATGTCTGGAGCCCCATGTGCATTCTGGGCTGCCCATGTCCCAGGTGGACGTGGTGCAGGGTCTGACCACCCAGATCCCATCACGGGGTGGTCAGGGCAGAAGCGCACACCACATGGGATGAGGCTGAGTGAATGAGAGTAGTTCCTTTATTGTAAAAAACACGTGCATGTACAGTTACACATATGTTTACTGTACCTGTATCTTGGATGAATTATTGCATATATGATGGGGTTGTAGATTGCAGAAGCTTTGGCAATAACTGCAGGCACAGATTTGGAATATGGTGTTAGGGTGTTGCCTCGACTGAAACAAAGCAAAAATTTAGGATTAATACAAATTACTAAAAAATGTTACTCTTTTTGTCTGGTTTTGTGCTGTGATCCCTTTGTAAGAAATACCCCTGAAGTATTAATGAATTCAAATGCATTCTTTGCTCAGATGAAAGGCTTGCATTTGATAGTATGCACTTGGTTTTATTCACTTGGAGAAGATGAAAGACATGTAAGGAATTAGTTATCTATTTGAGGATGACCAGGAACACAAAGAATCACCTTCCCTGTTTCTACACTAGGCAAAAAAAAACCAACAAAAACCCCCACCAAAACTACCCCATTGTGACCATCTGTGAAAAGGGAATGTCAATAAAAGAGAAAACAGAATCAAACCTAAAAATCTTTCAGCAGCAACATCCATGCTGCACAGTAATGGGTGCCAATGACTCAGCAGCAAACACTGCAGAGGGAAGAGAGGACTGGAAATTATTTGAAAACCAATATTCTTCTCTTGATTTTAGGCTCCCACAGTCAATCAAGTGTGATCAATGCCCGTGCAGGATAAGCACGATTAATATAGAATCACAGAACAATTTGGGTTGGAAGGGACCTTTAAAGATTATCTAGCCCAAACTCTCTCCCATGAGCATGGAGATCTTTCACTAGATGAGGTTACTCAAAGCCCCATCCAACCTGACCTTGATATCAAGAACATGCACTGACAAGACAACAGGTCCCTTTGGAGCAGAAAGTGGTTAGAGGAAGATGGGAGCTCAGGGGTGAATATCAGGGAGTATAACCTCTTTTCTACTCTGTCAGAATATGGAGGAAGCTTCTTGAGAGAACAGGTATTAAGAGAGAAAAGAGGTAACTCCTCCAATTCATACAAAAAAAAGTATTACGGGGAAGAGGAAATAATGTGTACCAAAAAAAGCAGGAAAAAGTAATAAACAGTTTTAAAATACATGACAAATAATCCTTCTGGCTCTATTCATAAGGATATAGTGAAGAACGTAGTATCACCTCTAATGTAATAAGTACTCAAAACCCTTTCAAAAGGGAGATGTCCTTCTTGTGGGTGACAATACTAAATATATTGATATTTCAGAATAACCCATGCTCTCCTGATTTCCACTTACCCTGCCCAGGCAATCAAAGTGACACAAGCATATGGTGACCAGGACAAGACAAACACAATGATGACCACAAAAGCAATTTTTGCCAGTTTCCATTCATTCTTCATGGACTGAGAGAGGTAGGATTTCCGGCTGCAGGACCCCAGCTTTTGAACATCTCTGTGAGGGGAAAAAAAATATAGATATGTCAAGCAAGAGGGTGAAAAAGTGAGGTGCAACATTGTTACTATGTTCTCATCAATATGCAAAATTAAACAGATTTCATCTTTCCCTATTCTAACTCTTCTTTTGCCCTCTGATATTTAAAAACTCTGGAAGGTAATTAATGTAGTAAAACGGTCCCAGGCTGAGATTTGTTTGCCTTTGAGACTGAGCCAGAAGAACGCCTAGGACTACAGGACAGGACTGCTGTGTCCTTATCCTTACAGAAGGAGAGTTTCAAGTTGGAAGGGTGAAGAAATTGAAACTCCTTGCCCTCCATTGCTCTCAGAGGTGGAACAAGCAAAGGCACAGCTGGATGCACAATTCAAAACTTATGGCTCTTCCTTTTCAAGGGAAGAACAGCTTGCAGAAATTACAGCTCACGAGGTAATATGTGCTGGAATATCCTGACTGCTCTGAGGAACCTGGCCCCAAACACTTATAGCGACATTTTTACTTCCCTGCAGATTTATTAACTGGAGAAGAATCTTTTCAGGGAAGAGTACAACAGGCAGTTCTAATAAACATCCCATCAGATTCTCTTCACAATCAGACAAACACCCCACACTATTAAAAAAACAGTTTTATACGGTTTGACATTTTATATAGTTTAGCACAGGAATAACAACTTTTACATATCAGTGTTGTTAAATGAAGATATATTTTGGGCTGAAGACGGTAATTACCAGTCAGCAGGGTAACAAAGCGCTTCCTGGTGCACCTTGAACATACTTGTAAAGTGTATTGGTGAGCAAAAGGCATAGAAAAATCTTGTGGTCACTGTGTTTCACGGGTGTACAAGAGTACAAGAGACCATTCTTTTAAGGATGCATTCTTTGCTCCTTCACTTGGTATCAAATATGCCTACACAAAACAGATTAAAAACCAAGACCAAGGCCAAAAAATAGAGTTTGGTAAGAACTTCAATTTAGGTATACAGCTAAACACGCTTGTAAAAACAGAGTTTAGCTTTGGGAAGCCAAATTACTTCAACAAGTGCCTGAAGATAGGCACAGAGAAAAACCATCGGAGCTGGTGACAACTGCAGGCAGCAGGAAGGACTCACAACTCCAACTGGTGCTGGATCAGACCAAAGATGAGTCATGTGCTCATTAGGAGAAAAATAACTGTCAGAATTAAGTTACTTTTCAGATCTACCACCCTGCTGATTTTTTATTTCAAATATAGACCAAGAATTTGAGGGAAAAAAAAAAAAGTTTCCTAACAATCATAGCCAGATACTGTGCGTGCAGTTGTGATGCTTGAGAGAACCACAAGGTTTTCTGGGATGTCTGCCTTAAATAAAACTGTCAGAATATATGAGGACTGTAATGTTTACAGAGCAGCTCAAAGGCAGATGATGCCCCCATTGCTACATGTTATTCGCCATCCCCTGGGGCTGAAAACTGTTCTGGAATGCACAAGGACCATGTTCCTTGTATTGCAAATCTGAAATACAAATAATCCAAACTTTCAAGTTTTCTGATGTACTATTAATTACCACACTCTGGGATTAGGACCATCAGAGACTTCTTTCCCTACTCCAAGATACATACATCCATTCCAGTTTTTACATTGGCAAAAATACTTCTCCAGTTACAGCTGTTAACGATCTGCCACTTTATTTCCAATTTGAATTCAGATTAATTTTTGATTCAGATTTTTCTGCAGCTAAAAAACTTGAAAAAATCTTCTAATATAAGAAAATAGAGATTTACATATTTCAGCTACATTGCTTACCTGCCAGTACGTCTTATGGCCAAGAACATAAATAAATAGCAATGAAATATTATTATCAGTGGAATAAAAAACACGCAGCAACATAAAATCATGGTATAACTTCTGTTTGCAGGGGAGTAGGTTACATAGTCCCACGTACAGGATATCATCAAGCCCTCAGGCACATAGGAACCTATGAAATACATAGAATACATTATTCACACATACCCCCAAATCTTGTGCCGTTGCTGATCCAACAACTGAACACTTAAAATAAACCCCATACTGTATACATATTCTTCAAGAGCTATGCTGGCTGTATTATACATGTGGTCTGAGAACGTGAGTGCACACATGAAGAAGAGGTCCTGACTGCCAGACTCTCAGATACACCTGATGCTCCATGTGCAATTTGTTCTGCTTGAATACAACCTGGGGGTAGTGGGGAAGAGGGTATCTGCACTGCAATAGGTGTAGGTAGATATACAGTATGACAACAAATAATTAGGTGGACACTAGGCACTCGAGAACTTATCAAAGAACTCATTTTCTTATACCCCAAGCAAGGCTAAAACAGACCACATAGGGAACGCTAGAAGAGATAGAGAGCAGACGACATACTCCACCCGAAGAGTGGAGCCACGCTCCATCCCAGTGAGTACAGCCACACGATGGCAATGATCTGCATGGTGCGTTTCTTTGAAGTCCACTGTATGGATCGCAGGGGCTTAGTGATCACAAGGTAGCGGTCAACAGAAATAGCTAATAAAGTCATCATTGAGGTTATTCCGAAGAGTGCCCCACAGAAAGCGTACAATTCACACCCTGAAGCAGAAAATGGCAATGTCAGGGACTTTTTAAAAACAGATTCATGTTTTGTCTCAGAGCCTGACATGACAAACCTCCCCTTTTTTTCCTGGCTCAGGATTTCTTTCCCATTAGAAGAATTTTCTTAGACCCACAATTTCAGTTATTGAATGTTTGTTAGAAAAACGACAAATATTAGTAAAATACAAATGTATGTATTTAATAAGTCCTACTCTCCACTGCAGGCTACAACTGGGAACCTTTTGTCAATGGAAAACTGCCTCAAAGAAAATCCAATCTAATTAAAGTTACATTTTCCTGGACTGTTGCCCAATATATTGATCTTAACAGGCTGCAGCAGACATCTATCTGCTAATGACAGATGGGTGTTTCAAAAAATTACTTTAGTTTATGTGTCTTAAAAATGTAGAAGTGATTTAAATTTGATGGCTAAAAGATCAGCTGTAAAACATAGCTCCAGCTCCTATTTTTAATAGCAGCACTTTTTAAAAAACTGACAGTTCTCACATGAAACAGGATTTTTTTCCCCTCTTTGCATTCAGGCATTGCGCTAGCAGATGAAAACTTGTAGAGATACACTGTCCCTAATTTGATTCAGAAACCTGTGCTGAATGATCACCGATTTTTGGAGATCTTGCATCGGCCCACCAGGAATGGGAAGCAGACAAAATACCAGATTCAACATTAAAGCAGACTTCTTCTAAAGTCTTTATAAGTAACCTGCAATATAGGACCAAATCACAGTCAACCCAAATCACTTGCTTCATTCATGGCAGCATGATAATTTACACTGATTTAATCTAAGGGAATGAGCAGGACTAAAGACATCCTGGAACTATAGAAAAGCCCCTTCCGTGCTGTTAAATAATACATGGTCTCTGGGCTTGCTCCACCAATACATAACCACTACTTGGTGCAAATTTTCACCCAATGAAGTAATGAGTAGTACCAAACTGATCATTGAGCCTTCTGAGGAACTTGCTATACTCACATTTCAGCTATAATTTGAGCATACAACACCTTTTCTTTCTTGCAGTTGGAAAGAAAGGATCTTAAATTTGCAGAGTCCTCAACTGACTATCATTATTTAAATCTCTTAATTAAATGTGAGATTCCTAGAGTATCCATACTAATGGACATTCACATACATTTCTAAATAAAAATATTAATTACCTCATAAACTAATACAGAAAAAAATATTTACGACTTCAAACTTTTCTATCCATCTTCAGCCATAGCATCTGCCCTTACAAGCTAAAGGGTAACATCATTACATGTTGATGTTGATTCTTTTCTTTCTAAAATAAGTAAGATGAAAAAAATCAAACATGTAACACAAAACAGGTGCCACCATGCCAACTGATGATGTCAAGAACTGGCGTTGTCACTCAAGAGTCTTGTGCTGTTGTCTCCATGTACAAGCCAAGATTGCTATGGCTAAAATACGCTGCAGAAAGTGCAGAGCTGGTGAGGTACTAATTATTGTTGAAAAGTACCTATATCTCCAAGTATCCACCTTCTGTGCAAGCTGTTGACAAAGCACATGGGCGCCTGAGAAGCTGACATCAGGAAGTCACTCACAGCCAAATTCATTATAAAGTAGTTTTGGGGTGTCCTCAGCTTCTTGTTGCTTAAAAACAGGAGAAATACATGATTTTAAATAGACAAAGTGAATAGTTAACTTCATAGTTTTGCTTACTAGCATAAACAAATACTACCCAGGTTGGAATTGGTGGTTACTTATAATCAATCAATTGTTAATCATCAGTCAATTACCACAGCTACATGTGTAGTCATTTCAAAATTATGACTGACAATAGCAGGGGAGACAAAATCGATTGTTTCTTCAAACTGAGAAATCCATCTGTCTTGAAAAATATAGATTTGTTCAGGAGAAGAGCCGTTCCCTGTAAGTGCAGTAACACTGAATGTGTCCCGCACTGCACAAGACCAAGATCTGAAGGTTACAGAGTCAAAGGACCTGCTTTTGGTGAATTTTTAAGAGCTGCTAACCTGAGGATTCACTGCATTACCACTAACTAAAATGACCCTTTGCGAACTGCTACAGTACAGTAGAGCATGCACAGAGACTTGAAAATAATACTTTTGTTCATATACATCTCATAAGAGAGAACAAAAGCTCTCAGCTGCAGATCAACAGGCAGCATTAAACACCACCACAAGGAGTGTAAAAGCAGCAGCCAGTCTGCAAGCAAAGTTTATCCAAAGAAAACAAACATCACTTCCATTTTTTAATCCCCACATCTCACCACCTCACATAGTCTCACTTCTTAAGAATATCTGGAGTTACAACCTCCTCGGAAACTGGTATTCAAGATTACCCTTGGCTCTGGTTAAGAGGAATAAAGATACTGGTAATACGATAAAGAACCTCTCACTTCTACTTGGGGTTATTTGGTTGAATATGCCCTTGTTGCTCTCATCAACAGAGCAACAGTTTCACTAGGAAAGTTAAATTAATCTGTGACTTCAGCTCACCCAAATCTACCTTAAAACTGGCTCTTTCGAGGGTTATAATGAGAAGGTGTAACACCGGACTAACAGTCCCTCAATGTGAACCACTGTATTGGTTGCATGGCAAAGAGCTTTGATACTTAGAATTTGAAATCAGGACTTCTCACAGCACTAGGTGCATATATAATACAAAAAGAGATGACCTGGCACACTCTGTGAGCCATAGGGAGGAAGCAGGATTTTATAAATAGCTTTGTTCTTGCAACCTGAATGCAGTAATTCTCAACAGTTTGAAATAATTGTTTCTTTCCCCAAAACACCTCTTTCAGTGTATAAAGTTGAATAGCTAAGGCCTTTCTGATGTGCTTTAAAGTATCAGTATTTGCAGCTAATGAATTTGTTTCTTCATGCTAATAAAGAAATACTGAAAAAGAAATTGAGAAAGCCATCTCAGTTCTGCTGCAATTCTGACAAAATCTTGGGTCTCATAACTGCCTGCAACAACTGGGTGAGAGAGGGTGCAGAGTCCACACCTTCACAGGTGCTCATCTGCCTATGGAGATTTTCCAACTTTGACAATTTAATGCTTTTATTACACCAGCTAAACCAAACAGATTTCAAGAAAAATTGAGAGCTTGCATTGCATTTCAAAAATCATGACGGTATCTACAGTTGCAGTGAATCCAATTTCTCCCCTTTCTCATATTAAAGGCCAGTTATTCAAAATAACTAAACTAATTGGTTTACCTTAAACATTTAAGAATAGGAATCTGTCTCTAGGTTCATAACCCCACTGGTGTTTCTAGCATTGTATGGCCCCTCTGCATCAACATGCATGATGACAGCAAGCAGTGAGCGAGGAGGATTTTGTGTCCCATCACAGTGTGGGACAGAAGAAGGGTATTTATTTTTTCCACGAGATTTTTGCATAGTCTAGTTGCAGTAGCTTTGGCTGTCTATTACAGTGTCAGAAGCCAAGTGAGCACACAAACTGACAGAAATCCTATGATCTGCCTGAAGCAGGGAATACACTGATGGCATGAGCTCATTTCATGTAGTGTGTTGGTCCTTCCAGGACATCTGGGCTGCTGGGAAGAATGTCATCTTTTGTCAAGTATTTCTGCAACTTCTACAGGGTGAGCAAAGAACTCTGCAACAGGGACACTGTGGTTTCTATCATTAAAAGTATTAAACCCTTCTTTAAAGTTTCAGTTGGAATTTTCCTATAACAAGGTACTTATTTACTCATTTTCTTTGATTCCTTAAAACATGAGGAATTTACACTGAGGTTATCAGTGATGTGCGTGGATGGGGGTAGGGGTGGGGTTACCTCTCTGCCCCCCCATTTGTTGCCATCAGCCTTTGCTTGGAGATTTATTCCAACATCTGCACACAGGTACACATGAACCTCAAGGCCAGCCAGATTAACTGTAAAAGGAATTTTTGTACCTGTAAAATGTGTAGAGAACTAGGAGGTTTCCAATGATGCCAACAGAGCCAATAATGAGCACACATGTTCCTACTGTGTAAAGAACATGGTCGGGGATCTCTGCCTTGGTCACAGAGTAAGGCTGCGTGCCCATGTTCAAACCCTGAATAGAAAACAGAGAAAGAAGGAAGGCTTAGCCCATTCAGGGCACTTTTTCCATTCACTTCCACAGTTTGTGCAAATCAAATACACACCGCTGAGCAATTTTCACATCACCTGTAATCAAGTTTCCCTTAAGTAGCCTTCATTATTTTAACAGTACCTAGTTATATTTAAACAAACAAACAAACAAAACAACAAACAACAACAGGGAAAACAGACTGGAAAAAAAATACTAAGGAAGTTATGATGATGATGTGGAAAAGGCAAAGATGTGCCAGCATAAAACTTGCTCTGGGTAACTGCTGCACTAGCTGACAGCACAAACATCAGTTCAACATGGAATAGTCCATCCTAGCTTGGTTTTATTAGGAGCAATGAAATCAAATCCCACACTTAGAAACATTAAATCCCTCAGGTCTCCCCACGCTCCCTATCCACTAATTTACAGTGCTGTAAAACCTGGGAATTTCCCATGGAAAAGTTAGAAGACTAGAGGTAAACCACCAGCAGTAGCATCACCTGTGTAAGCACAAAAACATTAAATAGTCTTGAGTTCTCTTTCACTGCCCTTTATCTCCAACACATGAATAAAACCACACCAACTCTCTATGTTTCTGGGTTTTTTCTTCAGAAAATTCAAATTTATCACTGGCTAAATTCAGCAGCAGAGCAGTCTGCAGCTCATCAGTTCAGCTGTCATTAGCATTATCAACGAGAAGAGTTCTAATTGCCTGATGAAGATTCTTATTTACCCAGGAAAAAGCAGATAAGCCATGCAGAGCGCTCACACATGTGGTCACATCTGGACAGCTTAGTCAAAGGTATGGCACCGTGTCACAGCAAAGGACCTGTTTTGCATTGCCACATATCGCCGCCATGCAGCAATGTGTGGGGTGTGGGATAAGGCTGATTTTGACCTTCAGGAGAGGAGCTGGATGAAAGAACATGTTCAGGTTGATAACTATCACCGCACTGGTAATATTTAAGCACCCATATGAAAATGGTGAGAACAGCTTTTTTTTCCCCCCTGTTGCTAACTCCTAATCTCCCATACTGCTGCTTCTCCTTTCTGCCTTCTATTATTTCTCATCCACCTAAGAAGTGCACAATCTACATCTCCCTCCTTGTACAAAAGTTCTAGCTGTGGCCATTATCCCCTTAACTGCGTGATGACACTGAGGATACTCCACAGGCTGGGTTGCTTTCGGTGATGGGAAGTGGCCAATGAGATGCACAGCACACCCTGAGCATCCGCAAAACAATGGGTCTGGAGCAGAAACGCTGACAGCAAAGCTCCTGAGGCTGATGTAGTAAATGGTACAAAAGCTTTGGTTTCAAAAGCTTTCAAGCCTTCTCGGTGGTCTGAAAGACTCTACCTATAATATGATGGCTACCACCAACCTGAAACTTCACCAAAGAAAACAAAGCTGTAAAACTAGAAAGAAAGGGAGTGTCTGCTGGTGCTGGCTGCACTAGGGGTCTGTCACTGCTATCCCCAGTGATCAGGCAGCAAGAAAAAACATCACACTGTGTAGCATTTACCCTTGAAGAAGGTGTGATAGTGTAAGAGCAGGCAGTGCATGGGGACGTGGCCATTCGGCAGCACCAGGCACTGATGGCACCATGTTCTCAGAGCAGGTCTGCCTGAGCAGCACGTAAATTAACCATGTCCAACTGTTTTCCTCTTCCCTTAAACCTAATCTTCTTAGCAGCGTGCATGCACTGAATCAGAACCCTGCCTCATTTCTGGCAATGCATACCAAAGAGGCTAAACGGAGGAGAAAGGAAAAGGATCCTTTTTTTTCTTCCTTTCTACCTTACCTGTTAGGCATGCGCAGGATTTACCCCTATAGAGGGTTAATATATATAGTAATTCAGGGCAAGTAGTACTTGCCTGTCATATGCATTATGCTTTACTTTACCATATGGGAATGCACTGTTGCAGAAACTCATTTGAGAAATGGACTCTGAATTTCACACCAAAAGGTGTCTCGTCTTATCTGTGTTGAAGAGAAGCTGACTTGGACATTTTGGAGTTGTTTATTTAGTTATGGGTGGTAAGCTGTGTCAAAAGCTGAAAAATGTCTCCTGTGACACATTTGTAAACTCAGATGACAGTTTGCTGGCAATACTGGAAGAAATATATTGATGCTTACAGAGTGGAATTTGGAAGGTAATATATAATGGGGATTACACAGAGCCTGCAATCTCAGTGAGAAGCTCAAGTGAGGGATGTTTGGATTATTCAAGCTTTGGAGAAGGGATCTTGCCTTCAGGGGAGTCCATAAAATACCACAGCCACTTTTGCTGCAGTGTTAATAGCCGTAAGAAAACTTTAAGATGTGAAAGAAAAAAGGGCTACTTACTGACTCTGTCACTGTTACCCTGACACAGCAGGATGTGGCAGGCATCCAGCTGTATGAAATGTGGCAAACTGATGACGACAGAAAACCATTTGTAACACTGTAATTTAGATCTAAGAAGATAAATGTGCATATCTATATGTGTGCATGTATATATTTCAACAGAAAACCTCAACTTTAATAAAAAATAATTTGATTAAACTAGTGGAAATTTTCTAAATAAACCAGGGTAAACCAGTACAAACAGTTGCAAGCTAATCAAAGAGAATTTATACCCCATTTTACTCACATAATTTATTTCACTAATTTGGCATAATTTCACAATAGAAAATTTTAAGAATAAAGATTTAAATATTCTTAAGGTTGAGAATTTAAAATCTACTCTATTGAACAAATGCTGCTTTTCTAACACAGACCTGTTCTTGGTACAAGAATAATACCCAGCTGGAGACAAACCATCAGTATCATCAAGGCTCTAAGATATTCACAAAATTAAGCTTTTTCTCTTTTCCTACACTATCACCTCTGAGAAGCTGGCCTTTTTAGTAATTTTGATTAACAAGCTAAATACTTGCTAATATAAATATTTTACTGTATGAAGATGAAGACTAGAAATATAAAAAAAAAAATCTAAGCTGGGTGACAAGATCTAATGAAAAGCTGTTTCTTGCAGATATTCTCAAAAGCTGTTACCACTCTATGCATTTCTGGGTACTTTTAGTTTCTCCCGAGTAATAAGAATAAAATTAAACTATAGGAGAATAGTCCAAGTTGCTATGACTCATTGCAACCCAAGAAAACCTAAATAATTATTAGAAATGTTTCCAGGTGACCTGGTAAGCAGGACAGCAGCTAAGTCCAGCAGGTTGTGTTTGCTATAGTCACTGTCATGTCTCACCAGGTTATGTCTCTATTATCTTCTCTTAGCACCAAAATGATGTATGGTCAATAACAGCTGATTTATGCTAATGGAAGGGTTCTGCCTTTTAGACTTAGCAAAGTACAGATTTTGGATCCGTCTCATGCCACTGCTCTCTAACTGCTGGAGTAAACTGTGCAGTTATACTTCAGGCTGTTCATTTTCATTTTATTGACAGTGGACTTAGACTCCTTGAGAATGCAATCGGAAAACTTACAAAGTTAAAAGACGTACTGTGAGACGCTCCTCCAGTTTCAGCTGTTTCACACTGACATGGTAATGCATGGCTGCCTGGATTCAGCGCATCTATTACTTCACTACATTGTGTTTATAGGTGCTCACTATCATCGCTGTCACATAATGTAGAATGAAATGCCTGTTCTGTATAAACCACAGTCTTGCACCTTCTCTTTAATCGTGATTTAACCTAAATATAATGAAGGCAGGCATTACATTTTATTCAACCAATATATTGAATCTTTAATGGGTGAAGTAAGTTTTCAAGGGCTCATGTGAGATGGTTCACCTGTCCATTTTCCTCCCAGGTTGGCTCTGTCTCACTTGATTTACTCTGCTGAAGGCACATCCATTTCCTAAGTGAAGATTTTAAAGATGCTACCCAGCATTACGTGACTGTTTCACTCAAAAATAGAAATGTAAACAAGCATCCCATGAAGATGCCAGTAACTGCAGCAGGGCCAGCTTCTAGCATACTTACCTATCCTGTACTTGTTTTGTTTGGTTCCTTCTAAATTAATGCTACAGTCACTTGTGCTTTGACTCTGTGAGATGTTGGACCTGGCAACTCACATAAACCATGATGTGGCCTTACCCTTATGTGACTACAACATCAAACTGCTGTCACCTACGTGGCTGCTTGGAGGTCTTTCCTGGCAGGGCAACTAACAGATCTTCAGGCAAATGGAGGATAAACAATTAACAGCTGCCCCTCAACTAGCTGGCAAAGGAAGCAGGCAGCAGATATAAAAATAAACTTGGTCTGTTTCTCCCAAAATAATGATGGAAAACTTAACAGATGAGGAAAGTTATTCTATGAAAGCTTTTGTAATTTGATTTTTAGTGATATAATGATGTCCAAATAATTTCAGCCATCTGTTTCTGCTTTCCAGCTGGTAAGAGTAATAAAGATTGCAATGCAGAAGACAAAAAATTGTGGTTAAAAAAGAAGGACAAGGGCAAGTTTGCTTTGATGGGTGGGGGTAGAAAATAATGGATTTAATTCAGAAATGGTGGTATGATTTGCATTAGATGCATATAAGAACATCTAAAGCTTTATTTATGCTTCGATTTTGGTCATGGTTGCAAGCTCATCATGTGGAAATCATTTACACTGAAATGAGCTTAAGTAAGGGCTTGCTTACATGGGGGATTAATGTGCACTAACAGGGAGTGAATTAACAGCATAGCAGCCTCCCTGTGCTGACCTGCTACATGGATTCACATCATAGAAGTTTGATTTTACTGTACAAAAAACTTAAATCTATACAGTTACACTTGAAATTTCAAAGAAAAATAATCAACAGTACTTAGCTATGATGAGATAGGAGCGATCCATGTGTGCAAGCTACCAGACAGTTTTGCCAAGTTCCTTGTAATTTCACTGATGGTCAATGTAAGGAGGTAATTTCAGTATAAAGCACCATCTGGTTTGAAATGATGTCAAAATTTCAGGCTTAATGAATATCTTGTATGTAGGAG